TTAAAAGAACAATTTGGTTTTTTAATACATTTATTCCTTTTAATTTTTTAATACATTTATATAATTACAAAATCTAAAATACTGTTTGCCCTCTACTTTATTTACATTGATAGTGACTGTTTGTAGCTTTCCAATATCAAATACTACCGTAGGTTCATTCATTTTGATTATTTCAAAGCATTGCAAATGTTCATCAAATTTACGCGAGTGAATGCTATAGCAGTGTACTCGTTAGCTGGAAACAAACTATTAATTTAAGAATTTTTCATCAATTAAAAGCAGAAATTACTCACCGATAAAACAATAAATGACCGCCGCAGACAGTCCAAAGCTGTTTAATATCTCCACGGTTTCAACGATTTCAGCGGACACTTCTTCCACCTCGACCTCTTCAATAAACTCTTCCGACGAGCTCATTTTGATTTTTAGATGTCACAAAATGGCGGCCACTTTGCCGACTGCGCTTGACATATACACTGACAAAATGTATCAACAATTTTTTTTAATCGACGATATTTTTAAACTCAAAAATATGTTTTTTTTTAATTTATAAGAAAATATTGTAGATTCAATAATAACTAATTTTTTAAATGAAAATATCGAATTGTTGAATTCAAAAATTATATTTTTAGTTTCAACTACATGAAAATACTCTGCGTGAGATTAGTGACGTTTAACACACGCACAGTAGCGGGTGTATCGCCGTGTAAAGTTGTTTATTATTTTCCTCTGGATTACCTAAACAATGTATGATATTAGATCTGTCAAAATGAACTTGACAGTGATTTGTTGTGTATTTCCTCGAATTTTTACTAACACGCCTCACATATCACCCCAATACAGCCGGACAGTGTCTTGTACTAATACTAACGTAAAAATTTAAGTAGCATGTATATTTGAAAATTTCGAATCTGTCAAATTTAAGAGAAAATTCACCAAATGGAACACAGCCTAAGTTGTTATCACCCGACCTCAATTTCAAACTACTATATATTAAGTTGTGTATCACTTATGCCGCGGATACACTTGCATAACAATCTATTAACATCAGTCGAGACATGAGTATTATTTGTGTAATAAATTATGAGGAAATCCAAAAACTATAAAAGTGTGACCATGGTGTGCTCTAATCTATTATTCAAATAATGCTCATGTTCATAGTTGGTCATACAAGTGTATCCACGGCATTGCATAACGTTGAACTCCCGCATCTGAAGTGGGGCATCTGGGTGGATTTACTCTTCCTTTTTTGACAACAAACGTGAGAGTGAATGAAAGGCACAGCTCAATAATAAAATTAAAGAATTCAACCGTTGGGTAGTTGTTTTTTTTTCGTGTAGAGCTGTGTTCCATTTTGTGATTTTTTCACTTTGATTACCATAATAAAAATAACCATAAAATAGAGCTTAGCGACGTGTTCGGGTATCATCCAAACCATTTGTGGGATAGTTTACCCATCCGGGATACAGTTCGTTTATGGTATTTATTTATTAGGGTAGAGAAATGGAAAATTTTCAAATAACCCTGCTATTCCACCAGACTTATTTCTAACAGACAAGGAATCAATTTTGACAAACACCATCTTCAAAATCAACCGATTAACAACAGAAGGATTTTTGAACATTTGAATATAATTTAATGTCAAATTTAAGTTAAAATTCACCTAAAGGCCAAAGCGCAATGACAGCGGAAGCGGGACGGCAGCGAAAAATCCCGATCTGAGTAAGTCTACTTGTCAGATTGAAAACTAGTTAGAACCAAATCGACTTCGGTTAGGCATCTTGATGTCATTTGTGACAACTGTCAAACTCAGCGCTGCCATTTATACAGATTTATCTGTATTATACAGATTTTTTAATCTTAATACAGACCCGATACAGAATACAGATTTATCACAGATTTTTAAATTACAATACAGATTTATACAGATTTTTATAAAATGCTTGAGAAAAAAAAATCAAAATTTATAAAAACAAAATAACTTGCTCGATTTTATCAGAATATTAAAATATCAAATAGTAATGAACTCGTGCACTTTTTTGCATTTAAAACTGCTTATCAGGAAGATAATGAATAGAAACTAAAATCTCCATACATTTTCAAACGGCTTCATATAACTCTTATAAATAAGTACGGACGATATCACAAATGGCGCAATTATATCCCGTATGGTTAGTACGATAGCCCGAATAGGTGGTTAAGCACTTTTTATGGTTATTTTGTATGCACTGTATTTGTAAAACAACAAAACATGATTAATTAAGAAAAAAATCGTCAATTAGCAAATCAAAGTTGGCACTCGTGGAGAATAGAAGAACTATAACAGTGATGATGGTTTCAAAATTTTCCACGGGGAAGTATACGAATGCAATCTTAAAATGCTTTTATTTTGCAAATGGAACATTTTATTTAAATCTGGTTGCTACTACAGTGGTAGAAAAGCTCAAATCTATGTGTACACCTAAAAATCTGAAAAGAAATTAATTTTTCTGTATTATTTGTCTATTGAGTAGTCCTTAAGTTTTCTAGTAACATAGCATCAACCAGATTTAAATAAAATGCTCCATTTGCAAAATAAAAGCATTTTAAGATTGCACTCGTATACCTCACCGTGTAAAATTTTGAAACCATCATCACTCTCATAGTTCTTCTATTTTCCACGAGTGCCAACTTTGATTTGCCAATACAGAAAATACAGATTTTTTAATAGAGTGGATACAGATTTTTTATAAAACCACCTGGCAGCTCTGGTCAAACTTGTCGTTTCCGTTTTTTTATGTTTTTCTTGGTTCACAACTGTAAAGAACGGTACACAATGCATCCGGCATATCTGACAGTTAGACAATTGCCTCAACTTATCAAATCAAATTTTTTGCGATATCTCTTTCTCGTATACACTATTCTTAGCGGCGCCGGTGGTGTAGTGGTAAGCGTGATTACCTCTCATCCCAGCAGGCGTGGGTTCAATTCCAGTCGGCGCCGCCGGGATGTTCTAAGGCATAACATCTCTGATCACACCTTCCTTCGGAAGGGAAGTAAAGTCGTTGGTACCCGGTTCATGAGTTGATGGATCGATAGGTAGGGTCCAGGTGTGGGAGCTGCCTCCCTGGCGTTGGTAGCATTGGTGCTCAGCACGGAAAACAAGATCGACGGAAAACAAACCAAAAGAAAAAAAATACACTATTCTTATGGAATGAGATGAGGCTCTAATTTGGTTTTATAATGTGTTGTATTGATAAACTTTGCAAGGTTACTAAAGACGCCTTCATAAACCAGAAAGAGCAGGGGCGCAAAAATAAGGGTTTGCAACCTTAAATTATCCTGAGTATGGCTCTGCCTATTGATAAGTAAATTTAATAAAACGTAAATACTAGAGTCGGTGTATAATGAGTCACGCCAAGAGAAAAACAGTTGAACTCGCATCACGGTTTTCGGAAGATTGCCATTCTTTTCACTTGGCAACAGAGGACTTCTACAACAACTTCAAAAGACTTCTAGCGAGAGAAAAAATATTGCGGCTGTAGTAAATCATTATACCAGTGATTTTGTCAAATTATCTTAACAAAAATTAGTAGAAATTCTCTTTACTAATTATTACCGAGCGTATCTCATGACAATTTAACGATCACTGCGTGTTTATGCTCATTTCTTCGATTATATTTTATATTTTATTGCAATACCTTTCGTGAACCTTTCATAGCATCGTAATGTTTATTTACTTTGCACGATAGGTAGCTGGTTTGACAGTTCAATAGGTAGACTTGGCTTCACTCTTGGCGTGACTCATTATACACCGACTCTAGTAAATACCTGTAAATACTTGCCTCTGAACATTGCATTTCACATGTATCAATTCGGTCAGTTTCCAGATGTTTTATTTTATTTTCAAATCATGTAATTTAAAACCGAAAAACATAAACAAAAAAAAGTCAAATTACACAATCACAGACAAACAGACATAATTCTTTGAAAAAGTTTCTCTCTGGCTTCTCGCGGAAAACATAATATTGCATAAAAGTTCTATATAATGTATAGAAACGTCAAAGTGATCCGATGCCAGCGCTGCGGCGAGTACTTCGCGGAACTGATTATATTGAAATCAACCGTTAAATGCGTGAACGAAGATACACAATGAAGTGTTACGTCCGTTTGTCTGTGACATAATGTTTATCTGTGCAGACATATTCTATCAGAGTTCAAAAGTTTTCTTATTTAAATCCCCTGCTCTGAGTCAAAGCACACGTGCAGTAGGTAGGGGAAATGGGAAGTAAAAAATTTTAAAAAGAAAATCATTTGAAATTTATGAAATTGAAAAACAATTTTGGTAGAAAACCATGCAATAAAAGATACTTCATGAAATAGCTGGTATCTCTGAACACTAACAAAATTGATTTGATTGATGCAAGTTGTAAGGTGAAGGATCTTGCGGCATGATAGCTCAACTGGTAATTTTATTAGAAACATAGTAGTTATTTTCAACAATATCTTTTGGCATAATGTTGCCCGCGAATTTTACTGTGGAAAGCATAACCATCAGGCGTGAACCATTTAAATTCAGTAGAGGAGGAACATGGATAAAGCCTAAATGTATGCATCCTTGGCATGAAATCGGATTTTCCCCGCAGTTTGTCGAACACAGTTTTTTTGCCTTACCAATTTAAACAAGATTTTAACAATTTTCGTTAAGTATATCAATTGTTTTATCGGTACAGTTGAAAACCGGAAAGCTCCACACGCGACAATCGGTTTTACTGTTGAGTTTTTCCCGCTGTCCAACTTGACCGACAATAATATCTTGCCAATAGCCTCATATAACATATAGATGACATTACACTCTAATATCTATTCGCTTTGTGGATTCAACGGAGATCTTCCTTAGCATGGGCATTTTACCCACATCTCCCCTAATTAAATTATCATTCTATTCAATGAACAACTAAAATCAGCCCCGACCGACAAAAACTAGCGCCGAACCATCGAACTAATCCGTTTCTACTCACCGGCTAACAGTGTTGAACTCGGTCATGTTTATCCCTTCGTCTTGCTGTTGGGCAGCCGATGAACAGAGACTTCGTCGTATCGCAATCACCTGTTTGCACTCACTGTCATAAACTTTGTGAACTTTGTTATTGTAGATTGTACGAGTGAAATTATCTCGATTACTGGCGATTTCTATTATCAAACGTCTCAAAACCATTAGGGTTACAGTTCTGCTGGACGCGGAAGGAGAATTTTCTCAAAATAGATCTCCAATATTGCACAAAGGTAGAGTGATTTTGGTTGTTACGCGATATAAATGTCTTGCGGTACGCATGAAGTTGCAAATATGACTGAAAATGAATTCCCACTTACGAGCGATCACTTGACTGGGACGATAGTGACTAGAAAGTTGCGTGTGTTCGTGTACGTAAATAAGCGTGCAAAGTTCAATTCTATATTATAGATCGCAGCTTAATTATAAATGATAACAATATAATTCACTCCAGTAATTAATTGATAATTATTAAAATTGATAAAACCATATTACAAAAACCCGAAAACAATGTGCATCAACAACTGTTCAAAGTTCTTTGACCATCAACAGTCAAGGTGTTCTAATTTATCATACATTCTGCGTCCAGTCAGTACGTTTCCTATTGATATACAAAACATCTGAAAGTTCCCATACTTAGTTGTTACAAATGATTATTTGTCACAGGTAAACAAAAACAACATTACCAAGACGATCAATGCACTCAATAATATAACACTAATCCCTATATTAATCAACCGTCTTACGTGAATTACTGCCTAAAACTGACTAAATTGCAACAAGAGTTCAAAAACATGGTTCAATTGCATATGATTATCATTCGTTTCTTCATAAAACACACTCGTGTATTAAAAATACCATTCACGAATCTCTCACGAGGCATACATGCATATTTGTTTCACCCTTTAAATATTACAGTTAGTGTTAGTATGGTTCATTCGTAAAATCTTACGCGTTCAGTCAGAACAGTAAATGAATGTGTGAAAGAATAAATGAAGAGTGAAGGTCCCCAGTATTGGTCGTTCGTCGTTCAAGAGCATAAAAATTTCAAATTGAAAATTTGGCAAGAATTTAACAGTACAATTTAATTTATTAGCATAGCAAAGCAATTCAAGCTGAACATTGCATTAGGTCCTAAGTAACATTGATCGATTCTCTTCGTTGACTTTCTCTTTCGTTGATAACTTGATCACAGAACCGTTTCTTGATGTGTTTGTCGTATTAGATGCTAGATAAAAGCTTTTTTTATCGATCTGTGTGCTGAAAATACCTGGGAATGTCTACATGGCCGTGGGGATGCAAAGAGAAAGTCGACGAAGATAATCTGTCAATGTTACTTAGGACCTAATGCAATGTACAGCTTGAATTGTCTAATTAGACATAAGACTATATCCACATACTATATTTCTTTAGTCGCTGGTGCCACTGAATTTTATTCTTCTGAAGTAAGTAATACGCTGCTGGGGCTCATATTAGGGACAGTAACCCTTATTTTGTCAAAGCTTCTTTGATTGTGATAACCTCCAACCGGTATTATTCTCGGATTAAATCCCGATCAAGAATGTCCGGCTGCTTTGATGTCGAAATTAGAATTAATCAATACGACTTTAAGCAAATATTTTGCAGATTATCAAAACAGGGACGATATTAAAAGTTAATCCGAGTGAGAGCTTAAAGCCATGAATGAACTAATATTCAAAGTGAACTTGCACACAAGATTATATTCATTTTCATTTGGAATACTTTTGCATGCAAGTGGATTTAGACAGTTTCAACCGATTTCATCGAATAGGTATATATTAGACTGATGCAAAATTTGACTTTTTCGCTCCACAGTGCTTAAATGGTTTCAAATCGGGTCCTGATTAGCCTCCCAAAGTTACAACTCATTTGGTTAGAAACAGACTTCGCACAAACCATTTGAAGTTTACATGTAAATTACTATGGGAAATCTCAACTTTTTGTTCATTGCCTTCTAGTCTTTTTCCATATTGAGCTGCAAAACAGTTCGATAGCAATTCTTACAGAAAATTTTCTCAGCTACAACTTTGCTGAAAATCGTTTCTATGTAAAACGAGACAGAAAAAAGTTATTAATTACTTAAGAGATTGGTAAACTTATGACATGATCAAGCAGCTGCTCTGTAGGCAACACTGTATTTTGCAGTGTGATATAGTAGCCATGATTTTTGTGTCCTATTCAACGCCCCAGAAACACCAATGTTGCCTGCTGATCAGTTGATTGAGCATGATCATAAGACATCAGCGCATTGAACAATTGATAACTTTCTATCCTTGCATTTAATCAAAAAATGGTCTTCAGCAAAGTTGTAGCTGGCAAAATTTCCTACAAGTACAGTTGAAAGTTTTTAAAGCAAATTGATATGGTGAATTATTAGATAGACATGAACAAAAATCTTGGTTTTACCATAGTAATTCCCATACAAACTTCAAATGGTTTGTGCCATCTCAGTTTCTCACCAAATGAGTTCAAATTTTGAGAGGTTAGTCAGGATCAGATTTGGAATCGTTTAAGTATTGTGGGGCGAAAATTTCAAATTTTGCATCACTCTAGTATATATGTAGGTTAAATTGATGTTTTAGGTCAGGCTTTTTTTCTTTGACCGATCGTCAATCAGTTTGGACATTATTTTAATTCGCTGGTAGCAACGTGCATTTCGTGTTTTTTGCAAACGCTTAGTTTTTGCTGTTTGTGCTGTGAAATATGCTCACTAGATTCTACCGTCAATACGGAAATGTGGACCTGCGTTGGCTATATGCGACCATTTCATGCCGCCTGTATGTCCAATGGAATTCTCGCCGGAAAAAGGACAAACATATTTATGTACAATCGTATGTGCTGCCGTGATGTAATTCTTGCCAAAGGCTCGTCACACTGAATTTCGATTTAAAATTTATAATAGAGCAACAGGCGCAACTCGTCGAAAACATAAACAAAAATACGGAGGTGACTCATCGTTCCACTCAGCAAAATAATGTGGATTTGTACCACCGACGAACCGACCTGAAAGCTCATACAAGCTACTTTCAAATTCGTGCCCAAGACGCCATATTTAGGCTCTGAACCATTTGGTGGATTATTTTAACTTTTGGTTAAAATTTGACAGATGAAAAGTTATCGATTAACCCTGCTATCCGAGCGTGGTTACTTCTGACAGACAAGAAGTTAAATTTTGACGACCGTGGCTCGAAAACCGGTCGATCGACAGCACGGGGATTTTCGAACATAAGAAATAACTTCCGAAATGTCACTTTTAACCACGAGTTAAAATTAACTCGGCAAATGGTTCACAGCCTTAAAATACGTTAAACACTACCGACATCTACTCATCCGATCGCGTCATACCATGAGCAAGAAAATGAACCCACGTATAATTTATATTGACTTGGTTCGCGTCTCACCTCGTTTGACAGATCTGATCGCCCGTTTGAAAGTTCGAATCGCTTGTTTGACAATTCGAATTTTGGACAAACGAAATACTCCTGTGCCATGTCGGTTCGTCGGTGATTGTGCATGAAGCGATCGATCGTGACGAGGTTGCGCCGCTTGAATAAGCAAAAAATGGCTGAAAGGGCTAAAAAGCGGAGAAAGTACACTCAAAATAATTTTCACGTTAATGCTACGTGAAAACATACATAGATTTTTTCCATCGCACTTTCACGTAAACGTTACGTGATTCTCATATGGAAGCACTCATTTGAGTGAGCTTCAACGTCACTGGATTATCACGTAGAAGTTACGTGATTCCTTCAGTACAGCTCATGGTGGTTCATAACGATGTTAATTCTGGTACGATTGAAATAAAATGAATTCTTGATTTCGCATTAGGCTAAAATCCAGTCTTATTTTATGCATATGCTTTTATTTTGTCTAAACATATATACATACATCGGTATAAAAACCAGATTGGAATAAAGTCGACCGGAACGAGGATCGGGGACGAGATCACATACACGTAATACATATGCCCATATCCTGCACTTGATCTAACTCCATGAGGCTGCTGTATTCACACTAAAACAGACTAAATTATTCTCTATTTAAATGTTTAATTCATTAAACTTACCACATTAAATTTTCCCACAAAAGTAAGATCTACAATAATCTGAAGTAACAGTGGTATCAAATATTATAAATAAATTATAATAATTTTTAGATGTTTCTCTACTTACTAGCTTTCTCTATCATACGTCAAAACCATCATAGCTCAAAATAAAAACGATAAAGTTGAGTGTTGTGGACTGGACTATGGAGAGTGTTTATGTGCAATCGTTGGAAATTTATAGAATTTGAATAAACCAGTTTTATTACGATGAGTAAAATGTACCCAAATTCTGGGGAAATGGTTATAATCACATGTTTAGAATGGTGCAGGTATAAAAGGGAGATTTTTGCGGTGTTCAAATATCCCACAATACTGTGGACCCCCGCTAATCTGAATGACACTTCGTGCATATTAACGGGGTTTATTTTTATTTTGAACTTCTTGTAACCCTATGACCATTAGAAATTTGAGTTTCTGGTAGCCTTATTTGCGGTATTGTTTTGATTCTGCTTTCCATTTTGCATCGTTTCATTCCGTTTTTTATTACGCAATTACAGCGGAAGCGGAACGGCAGCGCAAAAAGCGGAAAAGCCCAATCTGAGTAAGCCTACTTGTCGGATTGAAAACTATTCAGAACAAAATTTACTCCGGCTAGGCATCTTGATGTCATTTGTGATAACTGCCAAACTGCTCATAAAGACGATAATAAATAAAAACTGAAAATGTTCATGCATTTCCAAATGGTTTCCTACCATTCCCATATATTCGAAAGTAACTGGCCCTCTGGATGTGGATGATGTCAAAAACAACAAAACATGATTAATTGAGTACATGGGACTTTACTTACTTTTGGCTTCCCACATAGTACCTAGTTGGGTGAAATAAACTTTTTTCCTTGATTTGTTTTCCGTACTGAATACCAATGCTACCGACGCCCGGGAAGCAGCTTCCACACCCACCCTTTGTGATCAGATATTTTTTACCTCAGAAAATCCCGGCGGCGCTTGAGATATAAACTTAATTTTGACTATTTTTTTCTTACCGTGTGGTTAAATTTTACTCAACAGTGAGTTGTTTTTGATAGCCTTGTTACGCTCAATTTACAGTGTACTAGTCACCTTTCGCGTCACTAGAGCCGCTAGTATCGGGAAAAATCGTGTCTTGGGGATATTAGAAGAGTGAACCATATTGTTAATTTATAATATTTG